TTTCCCTGGCAGTTGCCAGAGAGAGAGTATCCCTGGAAGCTCCATCCCTGGGCTTATATTTCCCAAAACCTTACCTCCTTTCAGTTATGTGATGCCTGCAGGTGCTGTCCAATTACCCACTTAGGCTGTTACCTCAGCAACCCACAGCTGTGGAGCTCTGCTCAGCCTGCAGAGTTCCCTGTCCAGGATCCTTCAGCCTTAAAGAAGCAGTAACCTCTTAGTGCCCTACTACACTGGCCCATATGATCTTCTCTAATGGTGTTTGATTCTGAAATTTTTGTGAAAATACTACTCTTGTGAATACCTTTACTTTGGACACATTTAGAATACTGTTTGCATGTTAAAAAGGAAATCTTCATATAATATTCTGTTGTAAATCAGTTATCAGTTATTATACCTTTTACATAATCCTAAAATGTATCGCTAACGAAGTCATAGAATTAATCTGTATTATAAAGAAATGAAACAAAACTGAATATTGGTGTTCTAATATATTAAATATTAGTGCTATAGACCTAACTTAGCTATATCAAGTCAATCTTTGTGGTATATGTGAAACACTGATTGTTCCAAACTACTCTGGTCTTCATCAGAAAACTCAGAGAGCTGGAAGGCCTAGGTCATAGTCAGGAGATAGATAGCGGAGAATGTGATTTAGTGAAATGGTTCCCAACCTTTCTTTATACTGCGGACTGGTGAACATATTTAAATTTAAATATGTGTATTTAAATTAGATGTTTATGTGGGGTGGGAGTTGTGAGGATCAGATCAAGCTGTGGGTACTGGGGGACTCTGCAGCGGAGGGGGCTGCACAGGCAGTGGCCCGGAGGACTCAGCTGGGGCTGGCCGAGAAGAAGGCTGCCTTCCCTAGGAGCAAGCAGCGGAGCTGCCTCCCTGCCCCCCACCCTAGGCATTTCCCTGCCTGCATCCCCCTGCTTCCAGCTGCTGTTGGGGCTGGCAGGGTCCTGAGCAGCCCGGTGCTGGCCCTGGTACCTGCTGCATGGGCAACACCTCTACGGGTGCCACTGTGGCAGTGGGACAGGGTGCATGGAGCCAGTTGCCTCCCTTCCAGGGCTGTCCCACTGCCCAGCTTTAACCCTGCGTGTGACTGCCGGTGGCCCGGCAGCCAACCTTTTGCGGTCAAGTACTGGGCTGCAGCCTGGTGGTTGGGAACCTCTGTTTTAGTGTGCTTTAGTTGTATTGCATTAGCTCTGATACCATGTCCTATAATTCTTTTGGGAAAATGGCACTGCGTTTTGAAATGCTATCTCAGAACCCTGAGACTTTGGAGTTGTAAAGATATTTCTTATGGACCCTTAAACAAAAGTAGAGCTTTTGGCTTCTCTCCTCCATTTTTGTTAGGGAGTTAATCAAGAATGATGTTTCCCGCAAAATTTAACTATTTATAGAGGTACCCTCATCCCAAACAACATTTCACTTGTAAATAGTACTACCTTCTTCAAGTGAAGCTGTAGCTGCTTGGAGTAGTTAACTGACTTCATATCAATCAAGTTTATTTCTAATGTTTAAGTGAATGATAACTGAAACAAAAATCAGGCATCTTCATTTATTAAAAAAAATATTTTCTGGGGGAAGAATTAAACTGTATAGAGAAAGCCAACTTCAAGCTTACATGCTCTTCAAGTGATTAGAGATTCAGATGGAGGATAAATAGTACATAAATCTTGAATTTGTCCCACTGTACAAAGTACATTTCATCCATAGTAGATATCTTGAAAACCAAATGATTGCATTTAGTTTTTCATGTTTCATTCAGTTAAGTTTCAGAAATATCTCCAAAAGGTTTTTTTCACTTCATGAAGCTGCAGCAGAATGTCAAAAAGCAAAGAGGGTGGTAATAAATGGCTGTGTCTGTCAAGCCAGTATCAAATGGCTGTGTCTGTCAAGCCAGTATCAAATGGACTGCCCCAGGGGTTAGTCCTGGGGCCAGTTTTGTTCAATATCTTCATCAACAACCTGGAAGATGGAATGGAGTGCAAGTTTGCAGATGACACCAAGCTGGGGGGAGTAGTAGATACACTAGAAGGAAGGGCCCAGCCGTCAGCCCCCCACCTGTACTGATGCATCAAATTGTTCTGTCCTAATTGTAGGACTTTGCATTTGTCCTTATTGAACCTCATGAGATTTCTTTTGGCCCAATCCTCCAAATTGTCAAGGTCTCTCTGAATCCTGGCCCTACCCTCCAGCATATCTTCTATCCCCCCCAGCTGGTGTCATTGGCAAACTTGCTGAGGGTGCACTAGACAAAACCTTGGCTGGGATGACACACTTGAGGATGGTCCTGCTTTGAGCAGGGGGGTTGACTAGATGACCACCTTAAGTTCCTTCCAACCCTAATTTTCTATGATTCTAAATACACCAACTGCATATATATTGCTTTTTTTTCCTTTAAAAAGTTTTCTTAGCCTATTGATGGAACAAGGAATGCAGACACCAAAGTATTTTTATTTCCTGAAACAAAGGCCATAATGTCTTCTTTTTGCCAGAATAAATTACTCTAAAATGAACTTTTAGAAGAGGAATAGAAGCTTAAATATTGCATACTTTTTCACTTTCCTTATGGATTTTAATTTATGTGAAAAAAACACTATGATGATTTTGGACAGTTATTTCTACAAAGCATGGATTCTGTAGAGCAGCACGTATTACTTTAAAATGAGGCAAAAGAGCAATTTTACTACTTGTTTCTTATTATAAAAAGCCTTTGAAGCAATGCTATTGAGGATTTTGGGTCCACCTTTTATCCGCCTTAAAACTTAACATTTGAAGAAGTTTCTCTCAGCTTTCTAGAATTTATTACAGTGATTTCCACTGACCCTTCAGCAGTTCTTAACAATCTCACCATTATTTCCATATTCCTGACACAGAAATATGTTTTGTTATGAGATGGTATTATTCAAAGTTGCTGCAAAACAAAAGCATATCAAGTTTTTTTGTTTAATCCTCTCTCTTCAAATCCATGGATGAAATCAGTATCTGACAAATGATAAAAGGCAATATTTCTAGGGGGGGGGAGACACGGTGGGGGGGGATAGTGTTCTCAAGTTCCCTGCAAATAAAGGTAAAATAACCCCTCCCCCCATGCTATTTGGTGGTGGCCATTCAAACACAAGGAAATAACTAATTTTCACTTCCTATGTTAAAAATTTACTAATCTGTTTGATTTAAATAGATGGTTGAAATTTGAAGAAGATGTGGAGGATGGTGGAGAGAGATGGAGTAAACCATATGTTGCCACTCTGTCACTTCATAGCTTGTTTGAATTAAGAAGTTGTATCTTGAATGGTACAGTTCTCCTGGATATGAGAGCTAATTCCTTAGAAGAAATTGCAGGTACTTTTATGTTTTATACTGAAAAGCTATCATGAAAATGTTGGAAACAATTGCATATAATTTAGAGAACTTCTGCATAAAAATCAGCTGTATGTTTAAACTTTTTCTATAAATATTATAGTCTACACGTTCTATAAAACAGTCTAACATTTGGGAGCATGATTGTAGTAAATATTTGATTGCAAACTTTGCATATAAATTATCTTTGTACAGGTGGGTGAAGGTAGAATGCTCAGGAAAATATTTATCAATATTTTGGTTTGACCTTGAAGTTTGCCATGAAGAAGCCAGAGCCAAATGAGCTGTCTTCTCCATCTTTGGCTTTATTGTGGCTGTTGCACTTCATGTCTTCTATTCTGTACTAGAACCCTTCAAGGATTATGGCTGTAATTATAGGCAACAGAAATAGGAAGTAGGGTGAACAAGGGCTGGATGTTAGGAGCAGAAATTATGGGATTGCTGCTGGAAGATTTCCTATGCTCATGGCTTGGAGTGTCCAGGTGAGTGTCCAGGGCAGGATTTTTCAGGCTTGGAGATAGGCTTGCTCTCAGGCCCCAATCTCAGATCAGGTTTGGGCTGGTGTGTAGCCATGGATAAAGCTCAGTAGTTCTTAATGTAGATATGAGGCATGTATGGGCTTGAAGATGGATTTATGTATGGCACTAAGTAATACTGAAGGGCTAAATGCAGACAGTCAAAAAGCCAGAGGCTAAACCAATCCAGTCTTCACAGGTTAGTCTAAGCTGCATAGGTTGAACCAATAACCAAGTGAAGAGGCATTCACTTTTGGTTCCAAAAATTCAGCCACATGCCTACAGTGGCCCAGTCTAGAAGCCAGGGGTTGCTAGAGCATGCCTCCCTGCTTGGCAGGAGCAGATAGTTTGGGCCTAGGCTAGCCTGCCAAACCAGCATGTGGGGATTTTCAGGGGAGGTGTAAAGCATCCTGGGATGCTGGGGGACTGTGAGTTACCTTGCATCTGGAGGGGGTCTGCACCAGAAGTTCAATAAATTGATTTAACCTAAATCAGTTAAGTCTAATACTACGTCCATCCAGGTTTATCTTAGACCAGTTTGGGTTATTTTGAAAGCAGTTTATGTGCACTGAACTTCTGTTGTGTTACAGATCTGAACTGGTTTCCAATCAGTTATACCAGTTTATGTGTAATTTCTGTTCCTAACCAAGGTATACTATGTGTCCTAGGGCATGGGGACTCTAGTGATCACTGTGTGTAATAAATACAGGCATACAATGATAAGAACAACAGACTTTATTGTGTGGAGCAGTAGACAAACCTCTCTGCAACCTCTGTCTGTCTCTAACTATCTACTTCCTAACTGGGGGACCATTTCAGTTCCCGACTTCCTCAATCTCTTATTAGGTAGCATCTCAAATTATAATATTGCTACAGATACTTTGTGTGGATGGAGCCTAGCTGTAAGGGAACATAAAACCAATAATGTAACTGAGGGGAGGTGATTGGGGCAGCAACCCCAGGAGTTGCCTTTGACGTGGAGGGCTGGGGAGGGTGGCACAAAAATAGCTACTGCTGTGGAGCTGCCCTTCTATGCCTCTTCATGAAAAAGCAAGTTGGAATCCAGGCTTGACCAGTGCTCTGTTGGAGGAATGGGGGAAACTTGAGACACTGACCTAGGCAAACTACTGTGACTTTGACACAGTGAGGTCATCTGATGGATCACAGGAGATGCATCAGAATGCAACTGCTCTCTGATGAGCCATAGATGTGTAGCAAAAACCATTTCTGCACCTCATCTTGTGAATGATTTATGAGACTTGGAATGTACATCAAAGCCATTTTAGCTGTTGGATCACAAGCCAATAACCTAAACATTTCTGAACAAGTGTTCACAACTTTCCAGTGCAGTAAAATAACACAACAACTGAATGAGATCTTTCCAAAATTAAAAACGTACATCTTATTGGTTGAAAATAAGGAGAAGTTTCAACCCATTGTGCTTATTTTCTAGGAAGCTGTAGATGCCTTAGAATAGGAGTTTAGAATGAAAATTGGTCTCTTAATTATAATGAAAGTGTTGTTCCCAGTATGCTAAAATGGTGTTGGAAACATGTTGGTATAACTGGTGGTTGCTCAACAAAATCGTTTTTATGTGCAGCCCCATGTTTCAGATTATAGCTTTTGGACCCAGTTATCACTATGATGACACTCCATGGACAAATATACTGACAGCTCTCATAACAGTTTTAATCTTTCACTTATACTTCCTTTGCATATGTCTGGGAAAATTCAGACCTCTGTAGCTTATGGATACACACATGAATATACTGTAATGGGGTTGAGAGTAAGACTGTGTTGAAGAAATACAAGAACCATTCACTGAAGGAGGAATAGGAAAAAAATGATTTTTTTTACTTCAGAAGAACCCATTTCATTGAATGTAAGGGCAATACTAGATAGAATTCAGTGGGCTAAATTAATGTGGACAAGGAGTTGGGAACTTAAAATATGTAAAGTACGGCCATATATAGGCATTACATTTCTACTAGGAGAAACACTGTTCTCCTGGTAGAACTGACAAGGGTACAAGTGTTCATTCAATTTCTCCTGAGGGAAACATTCCCCTTTTAGGAGAAGATCTTTCAAGTGTCCACCTGGAAGTTCTTCCTTGTTTCTTTCACAAGAATGAAGGCTTGCATGCTTTCCTTCTTGTCTGAATGGTCCAGGATGGGAGGGGAGCAGCAGCTGCTCCCTGCCTCTTTTCCAAACCAGAGACTTTGCCTCGCTGCTCCCCTCCCTTTCTAGATTGGTCTGGGAGGAGAGGGGAGCATCAGTCATTGCTTTTTACCTCTTTCTCAATCCTGGCAGTCCCTGGTTTGGGAAAGACATGGGAGGCTTGCCCCACTTCTTCCTCTACTCCATTCTGCGGGGATGCAGGCACTGGCTCTAAAAGTGCTGTGTAGAGGAAAGCTGCCCCCCATGTGGCCCATTCAAATCTGGTACCTGCTGGCTTCCCCTTACTGTTCCTCTTCCTCAGCTGGATGGTGGGATTGGGGACTGCAAAGCCTGTAGAACTGGAAATTGGCTCAGGGAGGGTGTCCTCAAATGCTGTTCCTAGCCCCAGCCAGCTTCCCCTTGCTTCTCCTGGAGCCCAGGGAACCATGGCCACTGAAGCCATCCCCTTTTTGGTTCCTGGTCCCCTGGACTGGGATATCAAGCTCATGAGCCTAGGAACCAAAGCCAGGGAATCCACCTCTGTCTTGGTTCCCAGCCTTGCAGGCTTTAAATGTCAACCCTCCCACCCCAGTTAACTGAACTCTGGGCTTTAATACCACGTGTATTGCCCAAGTGAGGGCCCTACCTGGGGATCAGGGAAGCTGTCTCTGGCCTCATTTTCCTGCACATCCGGCTTTATATGCAGGTAATCTGGGCTACAAATGAGGAAATTTAAAAGCTGGGGGCTACCTATTGACAGCCTTCTCAGGCAGGGGTGAAGGCAGGTGGTTAAGTAATGGGTTCCCCTAAGGAAGGGAGTGACCCAGATGGCAGCACTCTAGTGCTCCCTGGTTGGAGAGCTCACCTATGTAGCTCTCCAGTCAGGGGATGGAACACATATACACTCCAGCTCTTATACTATTTTCTACCAGTAAGATTTTCAGATATTTTTTCTAAAATTCTTACCGGTAGAAATGAACAGCTGCCCATGGTTGAAGTGAGATGTCTGTTTATGAAAGAGTGAGAGTTGGCGGTAAAAGTAAATGTGAATCACCCAGGCAGTTAAGAGTACCTATGAAGCATGTTGAGTTTCTAAGTTTGATTTCCAGTTCAGGCACCTATTCCTTGGGGTGTCAGAGGCTGGAAGGTTATGGAAAAATTATGTCCATCTTTAGGAACACTCTCCTATCACTTGTCCAGATTCTATCTGGCTGATGCTTGGAGCAGCAAAAGTAAAATGCAGAGTGGTCTACAAAATGTAGTCATTAAAATGATAAAGGTTAGATATATATCATCCTGCTACTAGGAAATGAAAGGTTTACTACAGCATCTAACGCTCACCAAGTGGAATGAATACAATTAAATACAAAGGCTTTGATGGTAACAGAGATGGAGCAGAGTGAAGGAACAGATATTCCCAGCTCCGCAGTAGTGCTTAAGTTTGAGACAGTGAATTCTCTATGAGAGGAATATTTGTAATAAAAGAATACATGAATTTGCTCTATTTGGGTTAAAGTTTTGTTGCATTCATGATGACCCAAAAAATATGAGGCAAGGAATTCTTGAGGTATCTTTCATTAGACCAACTCTATGGTTGGAAGAGATGTTAGACAAGCTTTTGGGCACAAAGTGACCTTCCTTCAAAACTGAACACAATATCGTTTTTGTTTTATATGAGGAGGAAAGACAATTGTGGAAATACCTGGCATGACATGTTAGGAGAGATATTTAAAAAGTTAGATTTACATATAACTGGTCATGTATCTGGCTGGTTTCATAAATTTTGGGAGGTTAGATTGAGTTAAAAATGGCCACCTGATCTCAGGTAAATCAGGATGGGAAGGGCTAGTGGTGAGGATTTGGGGGATCAGGGAGGCAAGCAGACTCCAGGGGGAGGGAGGAGTCACGAGGGGGTAGGTGAGGTATACAGAGAGGACTGGGGAGCAAGTGGGATCTGTGGGGAGGGAGTGGGGGGAGGCAGTTTCTATGAGGGGATCAGGGGGCAGGCAGGGTCTGTAGTGGGGGGGATCAAGAATTGTGGGACAGGCACTATAGGCAGAAGGAATCAGGGGGGCAAGTGGTGTTCATGGGAGGGATTGGAAGGGCCTAGCAGGGTCCAAGAGGAGGATCAGGGGGAAAAACAGAACCCATGGGGGGAGGAGTTGCTAGGGTCCAGGAGAATTTGGCAGGATGAGGGGGGTTTGTGGATTCTGTTGGGGGCATGGGGGGTGGGATCTCTCTCTTCACTGCCTGAGACAAGGGGCTATTTTTAGCCCTCCAACCCCCCAATATGAACAACCCCTGCCAGTG